TTATATTTGGAAGTTTGTGTATGCAAAGAACGCGGTATAAAAGTAATTCACAATGATTAAAATTGATTTTATTTTTTTTTTTATTGTAGTATTTGTAGCTTTTCTATTTCTTAATTGCAATAAATTATAATATAAAATCACGCGTTTTTTAATTTAATTTTATGCAAACTGAAATAAAGATTTGATAAAAATAAATAGAAAATTATATTTAATAGTGCATCTGCTAATTTGGCGACTTGTATTTTAGGCCTGTGTTTATTTATTGACTGTATGATTAATATAGTTTTCTTTTTGTTACAGGTAATCATCGTTGGATTTAACATCAACTCATCTTGATTGACTTAATATTGTTGCTTTTTAAAATTAATTTATATACGCATTTCTGAAGGCACATACATGTTTACATTAATTCTGTGAATAAGAATTAGCTCACTGACTTATGCAATTTCTAGGAAAAATCCCATTTTTATGATAGTAAGTTAAACAAGAAAAAACTACTTCCATGTAGAACATTGTACTCAGATATATGAGTACCTCGAATCTAGTTTGACGACAAACATTCATTAAAGCTTCATATGAATTTTTATCTTAATGTATAATTTTCTTTCTTATGTATATTTATGTATGCATATATATACATATATATACATATATATTTTTCAGGAAGTTTGAGTCATAAAATTCAAATTAATTATCTTTAAATATTGGAAAATTTTTTTTATATTTCTAATCATTTTTGATCACTGATAGGTGGTATATGTATATCCAAATTTTATTTGATATTAGAATATTTTAAAATCGTAGGTTTCATTAGTAAAATTATACGTGTCTTACAAAATGTTATAGTAGAGTAAACGTAACTGCAATGCTATGATGTAAACATTATCAGTGAAACAGTAGAATCAATTTAATCATATATCTTTTCATATTCTCAAGGCCTTAGATTCTTGTTTACTGTAGAATAGATAAGAGACTCATAGTATCTTGTTGAATTGCATTTTCAACGTATACTGTAGATAATGTAGAGATAGATTGACTTTTTCTTTTATTATTAAAATAAATAATTATACATATATATATATACAGTGCATTTTATAAAAAGTAAATTGTTTTGAATAAATTAGAAAGTGTATATATCCGCTATGTTTTAAGGTTATGTTTACATCTTGAATTTATTATATACTACACAGATGTTTCGTAAAATTTATTTTGGTAGAAACTTTTATGATGCATTAAATGCATTAAGAAACGCTTCTACTAATCCTTCAAATCGAGTAAGTTTAAAAATACTTTACACTTCATATTTATAATAACAATTAAGTAGAATGCATTTTTGAACATTTTAGTATGTAAATTATGAATATCATAACTTTATTTCAGATACAAGAGTTTAGAGAGAAATTAAATACCTATCATAATGATATACTAACGGATTCATTTAAAAGACGTCATACATACCTTAGGATTTCAATTACAGAACGTTGCAACCTTCGCTGTGTGTAATTTTATGTGCTCTTTCTATTTTAACACCGATAAGACATCTTATGTTATATTTATTATGCGTTTTTCAAATGAAGGTACATATTGCATGCCAGTGGAAGGTGTAAAATTAACTGCGAAAGATGGAATTTTGAAGACGGAAGAAATAATTAAGCTAGCGGCTTTGTTTGCGAAAGAAGGCATATGTAAAATACGATTGACAGGTGGTGAGCCTACAGTTCGTAAAGATGTTGTTGATATTGTTGGTAACTATTACAAATTGAAATGGGAAATTTTTATATATATTAATGCGCATAGTAATTATATTTATTAAATATATTTAGCTGAACTAAAAAAATTAGAAAATTTAGAACAAATTGCAATTACAACAAATGGTTTGACATTAACTCGTCAATTACCAGCTCTTCAAAGAGCTGGTCTAGATGCTTTAAATATTTCACTCGATACTCTTAGAGCAGATCGCTTTGAGCAATTTACGCATAGGAAAGGATGGGCAAAAGTTATGGCTTCAATAGATTTGGCTGTTCAACTGGGTTATAATCCAGTAAAAGTAAGTTATTATTTTGGGAAAGAATACAGCATATAATTACAAAGCATCTTGATTTTAATAGGTGAATTGCGTAGTAATGCGAGGCTTTAACGATGATGAACTAGTTCATTTTGTTGATATGACCAAAGATCGTCCATTGGATATACGCTTTATAGAATATATGCCATTTTATGGAAACGAGTGGAAAGAAAATAAGATGGTTTCATTTAATGAAATGAAACAGATAATTAGGCAAACTTATCCAGAATTTCAGGCACTTCCAAATAAACTAAACGATACATCTAAGGTTTTTTTATTTTGCTTTATGTAAGCAAATCTTCAAATATATATTTAATAATTAACTTCCTTTATTTCTTAGGCATATCAAGTTCCTGGTTTTGTAGGACAAGTAGGCTTTATTACATCTATGACTCAAAACTTTTGTAGTTCTTGTAATCGATTAAGAATTACAGCGGATGGTAATTTGAAAGTTTGTTTATTTGAAGGAAAAAGCGAAGTCTCGTTACGAGACGCCCTTCGTAATGGAACATCCGAAGAAGACTTAAAAGATATAATTCGTAAAGCAGTATGGGGAAAGAAAAAACAGCATGCAGGTACATCGCATAGATTGTTTATTCGCTTAAATAGGAAATGAATGATTTCCTTAAAAGCGATAACGTTTATACCGTATATGTTTCAGGAATGTTCAATTTATCCCAGATGGAAAACAGACCAATGATTTTAATCGGTGGTTAAAATTAGATTATTCCAATCGATGATCTATCTACATATAACTAAAAAACTATATTTTTATAATATCTGTACAGACGTTATCGCTATATTAGGTAGACGGTTCTTAATAACATAAGAATTTTAATTAGGCCTAATAATTAATTCAATTTATTTCATACAGTTAATCGAAAAGAAAAATTTTCGTTTAAAACAAAAGTACAATATCAAAAACATAAACTACTAGAAAATTTCTCTTGGAGGAATTATGTATCATATATGGATGATTTTAGTCAGTATCATCATCGAATTGCTAGAATGTATTGTACACTTTCTCATATAGATGAAACTGGAAAAGCTAATATGGTTGATGTAGGAGGTAAAAATGAAAGTAAGCGAATAGCAATAGCTAGAGGAGAGATTCAGGTAGGACCAGTTATAAGTAAATTGATTGTGGAAAATAATGTAAAGAAGGGAGATGTATTATCTGTGGCACAGTTAGCTGGCATAATGGCTGCTAAACGTACTTCAGAATTAATACCATTGTGTCATCCTCTAAATGTGTCATATATAAATGTATATTTAAAATTAAATGAAGAATTGCATCTAGTAGAAATTACAGCCGAAGTAAGATGTATTGGAAAAACTGGAGTTGAAATGGAGGCTTTAACAGCCGTATCTGTAGCTGGACTTACAATTTATGATATGTGTAAACATGCAGCCACTACACATAGTATGAAAATAACAAATATAGAATTAGTATCAAAAATAGGTGGTACAAAGGGTAATTATATAAAAAAGTAAATTGGTGCTATACATTGTAAATAATATTGATAAAATATTTTTATAAATTTGGTTATTATAAAAGATTTATATTAATGTGGAAACGTGAATAATGTATAAGAATATTACGCTATTATTTTTGAAAACAGCAATTGTTACAATTAATATATAAATAGTATTTTATATAGTAACAGTTATCGATGTTCACAATCGTTATATATATTTTATTATTTTCTATAAATTTTGATCATCACATGGAAGGAATAAAAAATAAAATATTAATCACATATATATATATATATATTTAATTCCTAATAGACTCTTGGAATTATAACATTTATTCTTAATATATAAATAACTAACATAAATGTGTGTGTGTGTGTGATCAATAAATAAAAAGCAATGGTGATATGATAAAACAAATTTTTGAATCTATATCCAAATCTAATATATATATATATATATTTTGAATTCCCGTTATTATGTTGTCGTCGAAAACATATCTGTATATGTGCGATAAAAAGAAATAATAATAAAAAAATACATTTATGATAAACAGTATCGACAGTCGGAAATGTACCGAAGGAGGATGGTGGTTTGGAGAAGAACTAAGAAGATAAATGTTCCTTTTGTAAAAAAAAAGATAATATCGCATCATATAGGTGATGGGATTCTCGAGCGCAATCGCAGATGAAGAAAGTAAAGCGCGGGCGCGATGCACCTTCAATTCGAGCTTTTAGTCCGTCCCCATGAGAACCTACTCTTTAGTACTTCGGGTGCTACCGGAGCGCATTACCACGAAGATCGTTCTTAAATCAATTTCTTTTTTTTTTTCTTTTGACGAGATAAATATAGAATATAAATAATTGTTGTCTCGATTAGTAATTATCACAAATTGATTGACACGCGACACATTTGATTACAACTCGTGCTTTTTATTTTTATTAATTTACACATGTGATCATACGGTTCATGATTACGGACTTTAAACGATCGAACGATCATTTCTCCTCGATCGGTGAAAGTTCAATCTCGTCGACCGCATATATCGTTGCGGTGAAATGTGCAAAAAAAAGAAATATCTCTCGATGTCTGCCTTAAGTTCGAAGACGTATCATTTTGAAAAGAGAAACGTGAGGAGGCACGGATCGTGATTCGTTCAAAAAAAAAAAGAAAAAACAAATAATTGTCAATTTCGACGCGGGAGATTAATATCTTCATTGTAAGATGCAAAGGATTATTTAAAAATGCCTTGCAATTCCGAAAAGCTCGAAAATCCATGAGCAAAGATGAACGATAGTCGAATATAAAAAATGGCACCATTCCACGGCATGGTCCTACTGTTGCTAGGAATCGGTTACCTGTTACACGCGGAACCAACTTTCGGTCATCGCGATATAGGTAGACTTCATATTTTCCTTCTCATTTCTTTTTGTTTTTTTTTTCTTTTTTCTTTTTTTTCTTGCTCGTGGTTGTATCGCCTTTTTTGTAAGTAAGATTGATTTTTATCGAAAAACATTTTATACCATATACAGGAATAATCGCGGAAGATGTTAGATCGAGTCGCAGAGATGATCACCAATACGCACCAATTGTAGCACATTTTTATGACGAAGATCTCGACAAGAAGATGCTCAAGACATATCGTACGAAAAGGCACACGTATTTTTCCGATGATCTTACTCAAAACGTGACGGTTGCCGTTGGCCAATCCGCCGTTTTGTCGTGTCGAGTAGAGAATTTAGAAAACAGGACCGTGAGTTATTTACATTTGCTCTTATATAAGAAGAAATAAAAAAAAACATGGCATAAAGTTTAGAGCTCGTGGAAAGTTTCACCTGAGATTTCTTATATCTTAGGTATCTTGGATGAGGAAAAAAGACGTACGGATCTTAACATCTATGAAGACGACTTATACCGCCGACAAAAGATTCGTGATAATCGGTAAATCGCCAAACTGGGACCTTCAAATAGATTCCGTACAACCCGAGGATGCTGGTATTTATGAGTGTCAAGTTAATACCGAGCCAAAGATGGACAGAGCGGTCAATTTAAAGGTTTTGGGTGAGCAACTATTAAGAATGAAATAGAATATTATGAATTAATATCTATATAGAGATCGATATAAATTGGTAAAGATGAAATTTTTCGTTACGCAAGACGTACAAGCCAAAATCCTTGGTTCCGAAGAGGTATACGTGAAGAAAGGAAGTAAAATAAGTTTGACCTGTACCGTCGACATGCAGGACGTCCCACCGAGCAACGTGACTTGGTATCACGCTGGTTCGATCATCGATTTTGATAGTCCAAGGTGCGTCAGACAAATAAAATATAGATGTTGTATTATAGAATTGAGAAAAGCTCGCGATTATTAAACAACTATATGAAATTTTTACGCTCGATAGGGGTGGCGTTTCTCTGGAAACTGAAAAGGGCAAGAGTTTTACCAAAAGCATGCTGGTAATAACACGCGCGTTACTCAACGACAGCGGCAATTACACGTGCTTCTCAAACAAGGCTGCACCAGCTAGCGTGGTGGTTCACGTGTTGAACGGTGAGAGATATGGGGCTTCTCTTTGATTGCTGACAATTTCTCTACTTTGAATTACGTAGATAACTCTAGGGGAGCTGTTTATTCGTAGTTGAAATGTTCCTATGTCGTTGCCAATATTGGTTGGCCTTTAGTTTGAAATTTGTTCGCAGGGGAACATCCTGCGGCGATGCAACACGGAGGGAGCGACAGTGTCAACAGAAGGATAATCTTGTTCCTTGCGATCGTTATTCCGATCGTGATATTTCGGTGAGCGATGCTGATTTTATATATCGAACGAACGACGCGTTCCTGTAATATATACCTATATATATATATATATATATATATAAACGTAAGAGGATGGTGCGCGGATGGAACTGTGATCGCGAACTTCGATGTACCTAATATGTAAAAATAATTGACTTTTCTATCGATTTAGAAAATTTCATGTAACCCGTTACACTGATCACTCTCGTATGCCAACAAGCACACACACCTACACACATACACAGGTACAGGACACAGACAAACACGACGCGTATCATCGTATCCTATAATACAGCGAAACACATCGCTGTAGATTAACGTCGATCTGTATCATTGCATGTCGATCCTGAAATGTATCATTGCTACGGCCTAATAAATTTCTCTGAAATGACAATGTTAAAATACATTTTAAGAAGTCATCGAATCAAGAATGATAAGTAAATGCCATCACCGAGTGTTTCGCGTCGCGTATCTTTTGCAGAGAGTTCAACGTTCTCGCAGGTCTCTTGAATCTTGGACGAATTTGCAAATTCATCTTATAGTTCCCTAATTACAAGAACCTTTCCTTTGTCAATAATAGCATTATCATCGATGAATTGGGGTCACGTTCCCAATAATGAAAGAGGAAAGGATAGACTCGGAGGTTGGAATATGCGTTCCTTTTCTCTCTCTCTCTCTCTCTCTCTCTTTCTCTTTCTCTTTCTCTTTGTCTTTGTCTCTATCTCTATCTCTATCTTTCTCTTGTTCTCCTTTTTCTCGATCTTCGTCTATTTCCTCCCTCTTCCACCCTCTTCTTCCCTTTTCCTATGTCCACACACGTCCCACGAGTGCTGGTACGGATGCTGGCTTCATTTTATGCAAATCACACAGAAGCATCTGTTAGATGCTCACCACGAAACGGAAACTCAGACACATCGGCTATGTAAATTCATGAGATTCTCCTTGTTCCCTGTATGAGAGAGACTCATCAGTACTTTCCCTTCTATCGGTTAAACTTTGAGTTACGCTACAGGAAATATTTACAAAAGGTATTTTGAAATTCGATTTTTCAGATCGTACGAGCATTTATCCCTTTGATATATAACTTTAAAACAAATTTTCCATCTTAATGTTATTTCGTGAAAATTTCTGAAGCACAACGAGATGGCACTTACCAACGTTTACTGCAGTTTCCTCTTTAGATAATGACATGTTGACCCGGCGTTAATGGATCCCGTGTGATCTACCTATAATTAGCGGAACACCGAAGACATGCGGTCACGTTGTATTCGCTGCAAGCGGGTTGACCGTGTAAGCTAAATGATCGATAGTAGTATATCAACGTCATTGTACGATACTTCAAAATATTCCCTATGTGGTTCATAATGGAAAAATCCTTAATACTTTACCCCTTGCTTCTCGACGTACTTTTGCCTAACCGTTGATGCATAATTCATATCTGCTCTTTCTGTACTCCGGTAACCATTAAACCGTGCAGTTTTAAGGAATGCAAAAACCTCTCCCCTACTACACCTTTGCCTTTATCAGGGAAAGGGATTTTTATGTGAAAGTTTAAAAAAACAAAACGTTTGTTTGTTTTTTCTTCCCCCTTCCGAGATCTTTTTTACGTTCGTTATGATCAAAAAAGTTTTAACAAACAGGATGAGAGAGAGAGAGAGAGAGAGAGAGAGAGCGAGGGTATAAAGTGAAAGAGAACATAGAATAAAATCACGCGAAGGGGTTAAAGAAAATCCAGTTGAATTATACAAGGAATTCACTATACACGTAAATGCCTCCCTTTATTGAGGAGTTTAGAGCATCTCGCGAAACCTCAGGAGAGTGGTGGGTGGGAGGGAAGGACCGTGAATGTAATAAAAGTGTGTACGTGGATAAAATGGCACGAGTCGAGTAGTTATGAGACGTTTTAGACGAAACTTGAAAATCATGGTTCTCGTGCATTCGCACGAAATGTTTTTTATTTTTTTTCTCTCTCTCTCTCTTTTCTCAACTCTGCACGTTCTCTTCTACTAATATTTATATATATATATAAACATGAACATAATACTTTAAGTCGATGGTTGCATTTGGTGGAAAAAGAATCTTGATTCTATAGTTCCCTCTAAATTTTATAATTTCGGTATATACGTACATATAATAAATTTAACAACAGATTCGCGAGGCAGCAAAAACTGAAACAGAGAGAGAGAGAGAGAGAGAGAGAGAGAGAAAAAAGAGAAAAAGTGTTTTTATTCTCGGTGTTACGTGATTGCAATTCACTCTGCTCGCAGATAAATTAAACTATAACCTCGTATATCCTTGCATTTTATATGACCCTGTGAATTATCCTAAAGCACATGGAAGGCACGTACGTGACATTTCGCTGGCTTTAAAAACGTCGGGCTCGGTACGCGATAAATGTAATAATCGTGGAAATGGACGAAAAATTACGCTAGCAAGATAAGCGGATAGAATATGTTTTATCTTAACGCTTTTCATTAGCCAGATATATAAATGGTACTTTGATGCGTATTTATAAATTAAATAGATAAAAACTCGTAATAGTTTTTCAATGTGTCTGCTATATATATATATATATATTTTTTTTTCTTTTTGTCTTTAAAAGGATCGATCGTGAAGGTGATTTATATTTTGTATGAATTTTATCAAGATAAACACGTAAAACTGTGTCGCGTTTGATAGAAAACGAAAAAAAAAAGAAGAAAATAAAATAATAAAAAGTAATAGTTATCATCGTCGGTGTACAATTCAATCGAGCGCGAAGAAGTAGAGAGAACTTTTTTATAAAGTTCTTTAGGGGAATTTTCTAACCGTGGGAAAGAAAAGAAAAGGGGACCAATGGTGGCTCCTGGTTAAATGATTCTACCGGACGAGAGTTTTATCGAGTTAACCAAAAAGTTTGACGACATGTTCGTACAACTTTTACTTATGAAAAAGTAGAAATAAAAATACTTCAAGAAATCTTAAAGATTTATTTATCGATTAATCTCGAAAGTTCTTCGCGCTCGATACGGATTCATTGATGATTTTTTTGTTCTTAATACAATAACGATTTTAATTGGTTGATCGAAAAGATTTTCCCAACCCTTTGATATTTTCATTTAAATAGATCATAACGAACGATTAATTTCTATTTCCGTAAAGATTCTTTTTCTATAACATAAAGAACCTCATTTTCCAAGTAAAGTACTTTATAGAAAGATCCATGGTTGAAAAAAGTTTCGTCGTTTTCCGACTATGGGCTGAGAGAGAGAGAGTAGTAAGTACAACTAAAAACTTTCGGTCTCTTTTAGCCCGACACTCTTTTATTCTTACCGAAATAAACTTTTCAAAGGGAACTACTTCTTGTTATGACAAGGCGATTAAAAAGTCGAGAGAATTCGTCTACCCGTTAGATTCAAAGAGAATATTTTTTCAATTGTCAACTAACACAGTTCGGAAAAAGAATAGAAAAAAAAAAAAAAAAAGAAAAAAAAAGGGGTAATGGGATTTTCTTTATTTCGAATTTATTTTTAATCCGATATTGTATTATTGATAAAACTTTAACAAATGATTGACAATCGTACGTGTACGTTTACGATCGAAACGTTTGATTTTACATTTCTAGCTCTGTTCGCGTTATTATTCTTCTTTCTTTTAAACAAACGTGAATTTGTTGGAACGCGGTTTTTCTTTTTAGAATATCACGATTAATATGAGTACTCCAATAATCAACAAGCAAAATCCACAAATATCTACGAAACGAATTTTAACCGGTGTTCCGATTAAATTGGAAGAAGAAGGATATGCATCTTACCAAAGCGATTCTAAACCGGTAACGATATTGTTTGCTTAGGTTATGTATATATAAATAGTTTTAAATAGATATTTTTCATTTATCATACTTTTTTAATTCATATAATGTAAATCGGACGTAGCTTTAAAGTAGAATATATTTCATTAAAAAAAAAAAAAAAAAAGAAATATTATTTCCCTTTGAGCTCGTAAAAGCTTAGAAAATCAAACGGAATCGTACGTTTAAAGGAGATAGGTATTTTGTAACGATACCAAAGTACCGAGATTATATAACAGTTAAATCTACAGGGCAAAAGAAAAACTCTGTCGAAATTATCGATCCCCAGTGGAAATCGTTTTCTATTTCATTACCGAGGTGATCGATTAAAGGTGAGTATTATATTCGAAGCTTACTTAGAAAAAGAAGAAGATGATGAAAATAATCTAGAATAAGCATTCGAAATTTGTCCTTATTTTTTCTACATACAGATACCAAAATATCAAAACACGTATCGCCTGGAACCCTTCAAATTTTTTCACATCGAAACTGTCGACATTATCGTTCGTAACGTCTTAGAAAATAAATTATCCTCAGTTTTGATTTATCATCCAGATAATGCTTCCAAGTTATCTATGGAAACTGCCAATGATGTTTTGAAGGCGATCAACAAGAGAGAATACGATAGGTATCAAATATATATGAATTAAGAGGAAACTAAAAGATGCGAAAATCGTTTTTATTTTTTTATTTTTATTTTTGTATTATTTTTGCATTTATACGTAAATCATACATACGCATTTATGCATTACTTTTAGTTTCTCTATTCCTCCTCCTGTTTTCGCAGATGCAAACTAGTGATACAAGTGACCATCGTCCAACGTATACGGCAAAGTGTACATTCCGCTTTTCAGTGCCTGTGGGATGCAGAACGTGACAATTACTCGTACCACGTTTTCGAAAATTCTCATATATACGCGTGGTGCTGCGTATTCGGTCTGTATTACGAATGAAAACGAGCTTTTCCCTCTAGTTTTCCCTCTTCTTCCTCTTCGCATATATTTTTTTTTGGCTTGAACATTTTGCAAGAATCCTAGGAGATCGTGGTGTTACCTAGCAAGTGTCTTTTTATTCACACGCCCGATTCTAATATCATATAATAATATATTCTGTTATTACGAGAAAAAAGATCGACTGAAATGGCATAGATATATTTTACACTTAACAAGTTTATTTCTTCAAATTTATTCGTATAATCGTTCACGTATGCGAATCTTTTAAAAGTTATTCTTCTATTATTATTATTATTATTATTTTTTCTTTCCCCTTTATTCTTTATTGAACGATATTTTATTAAACATTATTCTCCCTCTCTCTCTCTATCTCTCTCTTGTGTTTTGAAATACAATGAACCTATCCCGAAGTCTTGATCGATTGTAAAGTAACTATCTCTAATATTAATATTTATTAGTTTGATAACTTTTCGTCGTAGCTCGAACCGTCGTCGTTGGCGATGCAACCTAGTCATATATGTGTTACGTTGCTATATACCCCTTTTCGGACTCTTCAACGAATGATTTATCGAAAAACTTTCAACTCTGGCTCGTCTTATTCTCCTCCTCGTTGGAATAATAGTCAACGATTTAAAGTTTTGGAAACACGCCCGATATTTTTATAGATATTCATCGGGAGAGGAGCTATCGGGACACGACATGCTAGACTGGAGAATAATGGAAACGAGGCTGCTGCTACTGCTACTACTACTACTACTACAAACTAAACGAGAACGAACTGATCTCTATTACGCTAAAAATGATAACGAGTCGACCAAAGAGGAGAGCTACTAGCAAAAAAAGTAGAGAACCTCTTTTTCTTTTTTTTTCCTTATTCCCTTTACTTTTCTTTACACGTAGATAGATAGATATAGATTCATTCGAGCATCTCCCCGCGAACATCATTGTAATCTAGATGGTGGACGGTGGTCTGGAAATTCAACTTCTTTGTCCTCGCAAATGATAACAAAAAAATCCAAGAAGACGAAAATGGAAACAAACTGTAATGTAAGAGTGGGGAATACGTGGAAAAAAAAGAAATTAAAATATTTCGTCGATTTTTCATCATGATTTATTTAACACAATATACAATTGTGAATTAGTCAATTTTTTGATTCAGTTCCGATAATCTAGTGTTATAATAACTGACGTGAGCGTCGTCATTCGATTAAAATCAAACGGATATATAAGATTCGATATCGACATTTTCTTTAATTTAAACGAACAAACAAGAACGATGATAAGCAAACGATATATATTATTTTAATAATTAACAACACTTTTAAAATACAAACGTTTTCTTTTAATTTTATTTTGTATTAACGTTTCCACGAAATCAAAATGGAATAATTGTCTTGTGTTGTTAAAATATGTTGCAAGCTATATGAGTTCGGATATACGTAGAAAAATTGTAGAAAAATATTATAAAAAATAATGTTTCTATAATCGATAAGAAATGATTTTTGTAGAGACGTTCCGAAGTCTGAATGTCGAGTCAAACGTAGGAAATATAAAATCTCAACGTGATAGGATGTGCAGACGACTAGAGATATATGCAATCGTTTTGATGCATCGTCCATCAAAACGTACTGGTCGAACTGAATTTTAATCTATCTCCATGCGAGTCGACGTTATTTTGCGAACGTTTTATATTCTCTCTCTCTATCTATCTATCTATCTATCTATCTATCTCAACCGTTTTGTTCCTTTTTTTTTAATAACGTAAAGATAAAATCAATGGAAAAAAAAACAAAATTAAAAAAAAAACAAAACAAATAAAACGTGTAAATGTAAAAAGTAGTAGCAACGATCAATTGTATGTCATTTCATAGAAGGAAAGAAAAAATCAGAGAGACAGAGAGAAAGAGAGAACAAATTGAAAGAGAGAGGGTAACTGATGTTGCGTGCTTTTCGATCACGTTGATAAAAGCGAACCGTGAGATTTCGTTTGAACACGGCCAGACAAATTAACGGAGATTGTACCAGGGATAATGTAAGCGGTGCCATTGACTCCCTGGGTTATAGATTTTTCGATAATGCGATTACAAGAAATATAAGCTACGCCTTAATGACCCTTCTAGAAATTAGCGGAAAATGTGCGGCGGGGCCAACTCGCTCGTTAAATTAATGGCGCAATTTGTACGTCGTGGCATACGGTAACTATAATATGGGTGAAAACCATCCTATTGCCTGCCTGCCTGCTTGCCTGCCCATGTTCTTCGAGAAACCTGCCAGGAGAATCACAGGGTGCATCGCCAATGCAAATATTTACGAGCCTCGATCGAGTCGAGTTGTTCATAAACAAAGTTCGTCTTTTGCTTACGATTCTATGCACCAACTTTCTTCAAAGCTTCGGAAATGGTTAGCTATGGGGTGTCGGGGTGGGACGGGGGGATGGGGGATGGGGGGAAACAATAGTCTATTCTATCTCTCTCTCTCTCTCTCTCTCTCTCCCTTTTCTCTCTCTCTCTCTTCTCCACTTCTCTTCGATTTTCTCATCTCTGTACATTCTTACCAATTACCGTGCGTTATCTGTACGAGTTTCCTGAAACGGTAATACGTTTACCGTCGATGTTTCGAGTTAAGTATGGTAGATTAAATTCCAAGCCCCTACGTGCGTTCTCAGGAATACGTAGCGCTCGTTTAATTAACATAAGTGAAATATTTTTCTATTATAAAATTATTTATTAAATAATATCGCCGCGCTTTGCTATCTGTATTTGTTTACGTGTGTGTCAGTTCATTTATTTTATATTTATTTTTATTTTTCTTTGTTTTGCAACTTATTACAGTTGCATTAACAAAAATTTGATCACGTTCGTTTTCGGTCGTTACAATTTTGATTATAAAGTAAAGTACCGCGAATTTTACGTAAACGAATTTTTATCTGTTCGATATTTCGTCGTTATTTTGATAGACAATTTATTTTTTTTTCTTCTTTTTTTTTTTTTTTAGTTGAGTCGACAAAATATATTTGTAAGAAGTAAAAGAAGAAGAAAGATAAACTACTATAAATTATTTGTCGTATATTTGGACAATGTATGATATCGTTGTTTTTATGCATACATTTTTATTAATATTAAGTACTCGTTTTTAATGTAATATACGTAAAAAAGAAAAAAAAATATAATCAATATTTTTATCAATATTATTATCAATGAGATTTACGATACGCGCGTATATAAGCGATCATAATTTATAAATACTCATTTTAATCTATAAGGATTATACAAGTGCAAGTGATTATTGATAAAAGGATAAGAAATGTGTTGTGATAGATTGGTCGGTTTTTCGTAGAATACTCGAAATCGTTTTGGGTTCGTAATTTAAAAAATCGATCGAAAACGCATATCAAAGAACATCCTCTCTTCGTTTTCTTCGTAAGAAAGCGTCGGGGACGTCAGGTTACGGGCACAATCTATCACCGGCTAAGTTTCCGTTACTGGATTCGACATAAAATCAATGCCGATCCTCATTTCCATGTAAATTATCTCTGATACCGCAGCATCGAAAATAGTGAGGAGGAGGAGGAGGAGGAGGAGGAGGAGGGTGCACGCGGCTGGGCTTGCAGCTTTGCAGAAATTTTTCGATGCGACCGCCGATGCAACAGAACTTCTCTGGTTTTTTTTTTATTTATTTATTTTATAATCGGATTGGACGTGACTAGAGTGACGAATGATGGCAACGGCTTATAACGAGAACGTAATTTAATTTAATTCGTTTGAAAAAAAAAAAAAGAAAAGAGATTTGAAAAAAATATTAATCGATCCTATCTATCAATCGCGATTGAAGATGATCACGGTAATGAGTAAAAGTAGTAAGTAGTGTACAGATAGGGTTAGTCTGTTAGGGGTTGATAAGGAAACTCGTACATATATATTAGGAAACACGCGATCAAGCAGAAGGCGTGTTCTCTTCCGTCGTTGTGCAATGAGCTCGTTTACGCGAGAACAAATAATTTTATTTCCCCGATGCGAAACTATCAAGGGAATAATAATAATAATAATAATAATAATAAGGAAGAAAAGAGGAGAATTTAAAGGGTTCTTAGTTGTCGAGAATAAGACGGGCTTTCCGGAATGAACGGCACGTCCCTTGGCGATCGCTCATGCTTATGACGTTCTGCCTTGTCAAGGTATTTCCCTGTATATATTCCCCTGTATTTCCCTGTATTCGGATTTCGCGCGTTACACCCATAGTGATTCGTCTTTGTCAAATTGGGAACTTTAAAGCCAGCACCTTTTTTTCACTCAGATTTATGCATTCCGCCGCTGCTACTCCCGAACGTTTTACCTGCAAATCGCGTTCTTCTTCGCGAAAAACTGCATTCCCCTATACAATCTGCACGAAGTTTTCTATGACTTTGTCCTACTTTTTATAAGAAAGAGAGAGAGAGAGAGAGAGAGAGAGAGAGAACAAAAAAAAGCATTTTTTTGCTTTTCCTACGACTGACTTTTCCTCCTATCGTTTATATCTTATGTCGGAATAATACAAATCGTTGAAATACTCGCGCTAGAATTTTTCCATAATCATATTTTCTTCTTATTTCATAATTCTGAAAAAAAAGCTAGCTATTTAGTGGTGACGACGACGATGACGACGATGACAAAGTAGGGATGAACGAATAATACTTTAATTTATGGATATCTCACCGCGATATCGTATCGATAGCAAAGCTCTTTAATAAAGCTCGACGAAGCGACAAGTGTATGAGGATCGGAAGCTCGAAGAATGAAGATCGATATCTTTTATTGGTGTTCTATTTGTAAGCGAGCTTGCAAATAAAGCACGATATCGTTCGAGAATGGAATCCAAGCCGATGCGTGTCGTACCGGCGATTTTCCTCCTCCTCCTCCTCATCCTCCTGTTCCTCATCCTCTATCACCCCATTTCTCCCTCTCTTTTAGCTTCCTCTTCCGATGGGAAGCATACTCGAAACTCTCT